ATATAGCATCGGCGCTAGCGCGAAGGCTAACAGGCTAAGCTGAGGTTCTTCTTCCATGAAGCAGCTCTGTTGTCCTCCATCCATATTTTCAGTTCCAGACTGAGTCATTTCTACCTTCTCCTCTCTGTCAACGCTCTCTGGTCTCATTTAAAAGAGCCAATCAGGGTGGATATAGCTCGCTAGCAGCCTCGCACCGAGGACCTATCCACATCATCATTTACCCAGAATGCTTTGTGTGTAGATAAAATGGCTCCATCCGCGTTAAAATATATTTTTAAAAATCATAAAAACTAAACAAGCCTACACTATTTTTACAGTCTTTATTTTACAGTTAAAATAAATGTTTATCTAATAAAGTCTAATATTACAACTAATCAGGGATCCTTTTAAAACTTTGTCATGCAGACCAGTGGGACTCCAGTCCTTCAAACGATGCTACTTTCATTTATAAAATATTTCTCATGTTCAAAAGACCTCAAGCACAAGTAACTTGAGATATTTTGCTAACACACAGGGTTGAACTTTTACAGAACAGACATTGTTTAGTCAGTTAGAGCTTGGAGGATGGTTGAGGATGACTTTCAGCTACTACCACGCCTCATTCCAAAGCTTCATGACTCATAGCCAGGTTTTTATTTGCTGTGGCGGCCATCTTGAATCAGGTTGACTTTGAGATAAGATAAGATAGACCTTTGTTGTCATTGTACAGAGCACAATGAAATTACAGTTCAGAACACCCATAAAAGTTAATCAGTTGGTGATGCACATTTCATTTAAGTGATGGGTGATAAAAATCTGCCTAAATATGCGACGTTTTATAAAAGTCAGTAGGAACATGTGCCTCACCTTGAAGTCACCAAACTTATGAGAGTAGTAGAGGTCCAGGCTGCTGACTGACAGCTGGTTGAAAGGTTAGATTGATGGGAAACATGTTAGTGATGCAGGTAACAGTAGAGAGGTGTGTTAATAACAAAGAAAATAAATCTAAGCAAGGTCAGTCACTCCTGCTGCACTTAGTTATGATGAAAACATCGAAAAGAGGGATTTTTCTGAGAACAAAGCAAAGGTTTCACCAACATTTGATCATATTTTAAACCTTAAACTTTTAAAACTCAAAGGAACATTAAATGTTGGAGCAGATCTTCAGGGTTGAAGTTTGACTCACTCTGTTGATGTTTGAGGAGCTCAGGCAGTGTTGGCCAGCTTTTCCTTTGGCTGCCAGGTGTTCCCTCACAGTCACCTCCTGCACACGCACGCACGCACGCACACACACACACACACACACACACACACA